GCAATCCCCATTAATATACCAATGGCATATTTCAAAGATCTAGAACAAACTCTCCAAAAATTCATCTGGAATAAAAAAAGACCCCGAATAGCCGCAGCAAGCCTGAGAAAGAAGATCAAAGTTGGAGGGATCAAGCTATATTACCAAACCATGGTTCTCAAAATTGCCTGTTACTGACACAAGAACAGACATATAGACCAATGGAACAGAACAGAGAACCCAGAAATCAACCCGAGCCATTATGCTCAATTAATATTTGACAAAGGAGACAAGAGCATACAATGACAATATAGACAACCAGATAAGACACTGTATTTCTGAACCATATTTTTCCAACAGAATAATAAATATCTCATATTATCTTTAATTCACCCTTTTTGTTGCTAGCTGAATCTCTGTCTCCATAGGGAAAACTTTCCTGACCTAATACAGCCACTTCCTCCTGAACATCGCTGCAGACCAAAATGTCTTCAAAAAACCTCTACTCAGATATCTTTACAGACACAGCTCCTGGGGCAATGTAAACTAAGGAGAAAAAAAATGGGACTACATCAAAATAAAAAGCTTCTGCACAGCAAAAGAAACCATCAACAAAACAACAAGAAAGCCCACTGCATGGGAGAACATATTTGCCAATGTTATTTCAGATAAGGGTTAAATCTCCAACATTTACAGAGAACTCATACAACTTAACAAAAGGAAAATAAATGATCCAATCAAAAATTGGTCAAAGGATCTAAATAGACACTTTTTGAAAGAGGACATATAGAAGGCCCAGACACATATGAAAACATGCTCAAAGTCAGTAATTATCTAAGAGATGCAAATCAAAACAACAATCAGATAGCATCTCACAGCTGTCAGAATGGCTATTATCAACAAATCAACGAACAACTGGTGCTGGCGAGGATGTGGAGAAAAAGGAACCCTCTAGCACTGCTGGTGGGAATGCAGACTGGTGCAGCCACTGTGGAAGACAGTATGGAGTTTCCTCAAAAAGTTAAAAATGGAACTCCCATTTGACCAAATAACTCCACTTCTAGGACTATATCCCAAGAAACCAGAAACACCAATCAGAAAGGATACATGCACCCCTATGTTCATAGCACAATTTACAATAGCAAAGATTTGGAAACAGCGTAAGTGCCCATCAGCAGATGAGTGGATTAAAAAACTGTGGTACATCTACACAATGGAATACTATGCCGCTATAAAAAAGAAGGAACTTTTACCATTTGCAACAACATGGTTGGAACTGGAGAGCATTATGCTAAGTGAAATAAAACAGGTGGAGAAAGATAAATATCACATGATCTCACTCATATGTAGGATATAACGATCAACATAATTTGATGAACAAGAATAGATCAATCTAGAGACAAATGGTAGGGGAGGTGGGGTTAGAGAGCAACTAAAGGACTTATGTACATGCATATTAGCATAACCAATGGACACAGACACTGGGGCGGTTGGGGCATGGGTGTGGGGGGAAGGTCAATTGAGGAAAAAAGGAGACATATGTAAAACTTCAGACAATAAAAAAAAAAATAGAGAGGTAGAAGAAATGAGGGCAGACTATGAGAACTCAGCCTACTCAGAAGAAAGGACCAAGAAGCAGGCTAAAGATTCCTTTCCAGTTAGGCAGCTGGGAGTTGCATTTCGCAGCTCTATTCTTGGAGGGTGATAACGGCCAGGAGTGGGAAGGATAGGCACTGTTCTATTTTTAATTTCCCTCCTTAAAGAGTAGAAATTGGTTAGCCAAGAAAATAGGTAAAATGTTTTCCTCTTTGTTGTTGCTTACACAATTCCAATTTACTTAACAATATGAAAAGACTGAAGACATCCTGTTTAGATAGTTTAATACAGCCAAGGGCAAAGAACATGCCTATCCTCATAGGAAGCGATCTATAATAATAAAAACATAATATACTAATAAGACCGGACAGCCCAACGATCTTCTGGACATCCTTCTGGATGATCTTCTGGACGAAGCAGGGGCTGTGAGGGCCAAGGCAGCCACTGCAGCTGCAAGGGCCGAGCCCCTTGCACGAATTTTGTGCATCGGGCCTCTAATCCTATCTAATAATAGACAAACAGGCGTACCTTCGCTACGCCTCCCATTGGCTAATCAGCACAATATGCAAATTAACCGCCAACAAAGATGGCAGTTAATTTGCATACGGCGCGGAGCGAAGACTGAAGGCGGCTCCAGCTGGAGCGAAAGCCTGGGTCCCGGGTGCTGGCAGCCAGGGGAAGGGAAGGCCTATTGCACGAATCTTTTCATGCAACAGGCCTCTAGTCTACTATAATAGTCATGACTATATTCTGTTTTGAAATACTACTTATCAAGAAATGATACTTAAGTGTATTTGAAATTCCAACTTACCAGGAAAACTTTTGAATAAAAACTTACATAATCTAACTAAAAGTATTCTCTCCTAGAAGATAATCCACTAGTTTTTAGACCCAGTTCTGTTACTAATGACCTATTTATCTCTTAGTCTGAAGATTTTAATCTATAAAACAAGAATATTAAATGAGTTTAGCTTAAATCCCCCTTTGAGCTACTGTTTTAAATATTTAAAATTCAAAAGCACTGATAAAAAATGTTTATAACCCATATCATTTCAGATTATTATATTCATCAAATGAAATCTAGTTTTTCCTTCAAAATTAATGAAATGTCAAAGTGGTAAAGTTTGTGTGTATGTGTGTATGTGTGTTGAGGGAGGGGGACAGAAGTTATTAGAATCTTTTATAATAATTATTCATGGTTTCACCTAACACTACTCTAACAGTAGGTCCTAAAAACACTCATAATACATTCTAAGTTACATATCCTACTAATAACTTTTAAGTAATTCTTAAAATGTTTTTTTTAAACTAATACACAATACCATTTACATTAGTACCTAAGAAACAAAATACTTAGGTATAAATTAAACAAATATGCACAAAATATATGAGGAAAACTACACAACTCAGGTGAATTTAATCAACTAAATAAAAGGAGAGATTTTTCCAGGATAGAAAGACACAATATTATCAAGATGTTGGTTCTTCCCAACTTGATCTCTAGATTTAATGCAATCTCGATCAAAATCCTAGCAGGTCATTTTATGGATATTGACAAACTGATTTTAAAGTTTATATGGAGAAGCAAAAGATCCAGAATAGCCAAAATAAAATTGAAGAATAGCAAAGTTGGAGGATTAATCTATCTATCTTCAAGTTTTACTATAAAGCTAAAGTAATGAGGACACTGTTGTATTGTGAAAGAATAAATAGATCAATGGAACAGAATACAGAGCCCTGACATAGACCCACATAAATATAGTCAATTGATCTTAAACAAAGGAACAAAGGCAATACAATGGAGCAAAGGTAGTCTCTTTAACAGATGATGCTAGAACTGGACATCCACATGAAAAATAATGAATCTAGACACAGACCTTATAACTTTCATGAATAGTAACTCAAAATGGACCACAGACCTAAACATAAAATGCAAAATTATAAAACTTCTAGAATATAAGATAGGATAATACTTAGATGACTTGGGTATGGTGATACCATTTTGGACAAAACACCAAAAACATGATTCATGAAAGAAATAAAATTTCATTAAAATTAAAAACCTCTTCTCTGTAAAAGACAATATAAAAAAAATTAAAAGACAAGACCCAGACTGGGAGAAAACATTTATAAAAGACATCTGATAAATGACTATTATCCACAATATACAAAGAACTCTTAAAACTCAACAATAAGAAAACAAGCAACTCGACTGAAAAAATGGTCCAAAAATCTTAATGGACAGACACCTCACCAAAGAAGATATACAGATGGCAAGAAAGATTATGAAAAGATGCTCCACATCATATGACATCAGGGAAATGCAAATTGAAACGACGAGATGCTACTATACACCTATTAGCAGGGCCAAAATCTGGAACCCTGACCACAAATACTGGTGAAGATGAGCAACAGGAATTTTCATAAATTGCTGGTGGGAATAAGAAATGGTACAGCCATTTTGGAAGACAGTTTGGCAGTATCTTATAAAACTAAACATACTCTTATCATATGTTCCAGCAATAATGCTCCTTGGTATTTTTACCCAAAGGAGTTGCAAACATGTCCACACAAAAAAACCTGCACGCAGATCGTTTATAGCAGCTTTATTCATAACTGACAAAACTTGGAAACAACCAAGATGTCCTTCATTATGTGAACAGATAAATAAACTGTGGTACATCAGACAAGGGAATATTATTTTGCACTAATGAGCTATCAAACTATGAAAAGACATGGAGGAACCTTAAATGTATAGTACTAAGGTAAAAGCCATTCTGAGAGGACTACATGAATGATCCCAACTAGCTGATACTCTGAAAAGGCAAAACTATGAAGACAGTAAAAAGATCAGTGCTTTCCAGAGGTGGGGATCAGAGAGAGATGAAGAGTTAGAGCTCCGAAGATTTTAGGGCAGTGAAAATACTCTGTATGATACTACAATGATAGATATGTAATTATATGTTTGTTTAACCCATAGAATATATAACACCGAGAGTGAACTGTCAACTTTGGGTGATTATAATGAATCAGTGGAGATTCATCCTTGATAAAAAATGTACCATACTGGTGAGTGATATTGATATATATGTGTGGGAGCAGGGGGTATATGGAAAATGTCTGTGCCTCCCTTTCAGTTTTGCTGTTAAGGTAAAACTGCTCTAAAAATTTGTCTTAAATTAAAAAACAAACAAGCTAACACTCCAAATTTAATTTTAAACATGATTGTTTCATTATAACACATACCTTAAACATTTACAATATCAATTACTAGTACTTGATCATTTTCTTTTTTAATCTTTAGGCATTATTGCTTCTTGCTTAACATTTTCACATAACTTTTTAAAAAAATATAAAGTCCAAACTCTGCTAACCAATTTTTCTGTTCCCCGTCTTACTTTAATTTCTATATTAGGAACACTTACCAGATACAATACATATCCCCATTCTGGAGCTGTGAAATAAGAAAAGATTCACAGAGTTGTAAGGCTAACATAGTCTTGCCTTCTTTTTCAGTGTTACAGATGATATCAATTCCACTCTTACAATCAGTTTTCAATAAATGCTATAAGAGGAAAAGAAAAATTAGTTCATGTCATTAAAAATATCTAAAAGCTAGTTGCAATAAGTGTTTAAACATTCAGAAGAAATTAGATGTTTAGTTTTCTTCTACAAAGACAATGATGAATTGTACAGAAAATTTTTCATAGCTTCATATTTTTACTATATAGCACCTATAGTTTACAGTTACTTTTAATCTCATTAATGTTTATAACTTATAGGTAGGAAGGATCCATATTAGGAAAAGATTCTTTCATCTTGAAAAAAACAAAATAACAAACATGAAAATTTTAATTTTTAAATATTTTATTTAAAAGGCAAAATCATAATGGTTCTCAGTTTTTATTTGACCTCTGTCACACCAGAAACTCAACATAAATAATGCTTATTGCTGTCCTGGCTAGGTGGCTCAGTTGGTTGAAGTATACACCAAAAGGCTGTGGGTTCAATTCCTGGTCAGGGCACATACCTAGGTTGTAGTTTTGATCCCTGGTTGGGACATGTATGGAAGGCAACTGATCCATATTTTTCACTCACATCAGTGTTTCTCTCTCTCCCCCTTCCTTTCTCTCTAAAAATCAATAAATATAAATAAAATAAATAAAATGAAGCTTATTAATGTTTTGTTAATTTCATCATTTGTTGATATCAGATTTTTCAGTGGTCGGCAAACTGTGGCTCGCGAGCCACATGCGGCTCTTTGGTCCCTTGTGTGTGGCTCTTCCACAAAATACCGACTTCTGGGCATGGGCCATGACGTTTCAATTGCACTGTACGTGCGCACCCACACGTGGTATTTTGTGGAAGAGCCACACTCAAGGGGCCAAAGAGCCGCATGTGGCTCGCGAGCCACAGTTTGCCAACCACTGGTCTAATTTAACATGAGCTTAAAGAATGGTGTTAAAGAGAACACATCTAAATAATTTAATCTGAAAACCTTTGGTATTACTATAAAAAGGAATTTAACAAGATTCAGCTATATTTTCCCCTGTTTTTTATTATAAGGTTAAAATGATGATAGACAAACAAACAAAATCTTAAACAATACCTCCCGGAATAGCTGTTCTTCTACAGGTGACATAAATAGACATGTGAAGAGTGCTTGATGGAAATACAAGTCTTTGCTGATTTCTGGGTGATTTATACAAGATTTAATAAGAGCCATTGCTTCGGGTATGCGTTCACAAGCAATTAGGTATCTGGCACGTAGTTCAAAGAATAGTGGATTTTCCGAACTTAAGTATTTGTTCACTGTATTAAATAGAGAACAGACTCATATTACTCTCAAGAAAGGATTCTCTCAAACTCTTGATTGTTGTTTGAAACTTTATCACTAACGTGTGGCATTTAATTAGATTAACTAGTTATTTAATTAAATAGCATTTTCTTAGTAAGAGTTTATTTGTGAAAAAAGATATACAATTATATGATTGGAAAAATGGAAATAAAAGTGACAACAAAACAATGCTCAAGAAATACCTGTTGATTTCTTCTCAGTTTAAAAAGTAAAAAACCTGAAATATTTATTTTTCAGTTCACTAATATGTTAAAATGTTTCAAATAACATGGGGTATGTAATTTCTAGTCTAAGATTATGTACTCTGATCTTAGTGCTCAATATTTTCATTACTGATTAATTATAGAGAAATAAATCTGAATTAATGAAAAAGTTAAATCATGAAAGAAATGTTTTATTACTTGTCAACAAAAGATTAAGCCAAAAGGAATGCTTATTAATATGTGCTCATGTATCACTAAGAATAATTACTAACAAATACTTGGTTTTACACAATTAAAAAGTATACAAACACCTTTATCTACTAAGTTTATTTAGACCTAACAACATCCTTATGATAGTTATCATAGTATTTGTTTTACAGATCACAAAACTGAGTCTCAGAGAGGTCAAATGACTTGCCCAAAGACAAAAGTTAAGTGGCGAAGCAGGAACTAGAACATATATATCCTATTGGACCCCAAGTATTTTAATTAGTTATATGTTTAATCATTAGCTTCTAAAATACTTATGAGTGATGTTTTATTTGGGTGCCAACATTTGCCTTGCAGTTCTGTTTCCAACATATGATCAACAGACACTCATCTGTACAGTTAATGCAAAGATAAACCTCACACTAGTTTTTGCCCTAATGATCACCAACCAGAGAAGAGTCATTCATATTAATGAGGCTCTAGAGCAGCTTTTCCCAGAGTGAGGTATGTCAATGTAAGTATTAAAGGACTATGTGTGAAGAACTATATATACATATATTAAGGCCATCAGACTTCAAAGCAACTCATAATATGTTTGTTCTTGCTCCTACTCAGAGAAGCCTAAAAGCTCTCCTAAAAGCCCTAACTTTTCACTCCTTTGGAAGCTCTGTCTTGTCTATCTCCTACCCCCATCTTGCCTCATTCCCTGGTCTCCTCATAGTTTTCTTCAGCTAGTCACCTTTGCCTTACCTGTATTTGACTCTACCTTTCCTCAGCCATCCAACTCTTCCTCCTCAGTTCCAGCTGCTTCCGTTCTTTTATTCCTTCTCCAGACCCTCATATCAAGTTCGTCTCATTTGTATCCCTTGGGTATATAACACTGTCACATATATATTTCAGCCCTTTCCTCCTATTTTGTCTTATCTCCCATCTCATCCCACTGCTTTGCACTACACTTCTTCAGGCCTTATCTTTCATCTTCTCTCACATCTCTGTCATTGGCCTCCACACTTGTATCTGAGTTGGCTTGCTCTTAAGCCCAAGAATCACAGCTCCTTCTCCACTCAACTCTACCTACAACCCACCCCTACCCTCACCCCTTAACCTGGGACAAATGGACAGATCCTAACCCACAGAGCACAATCTGTGGTATGAAGTGTCTTTCTCACCAGACCAAGGTCTGAATTGTTCCAGAGCTAGGAGTTCTTGTCTTTTCCTTTTGGCAATCTTAAAATTGTACTCCTTAGGCTCTCTCCATACATTCAAATGTTTTTCACAGTTTTGTGTTTATTCACTACTGCTCAGCTCTACATTCTAAGTTTTGGTGATCAGCTGTGGCTTAGGAATAATATGTGAGAAGCAGTTGACAGAGCCTCCTTCCTCAAAAGAAAATTCTGGCCCACAGGAACCACTGTACATCTAGGTTTAAGAGGAGGTGATGTCAAAGAAGTATGCAGGCAGTAAAGGGATGAGGGAAAATTTAACTTCTAATAATGGATGAAGTGTGGGAAATACTGCTCTACAGTATTTGGAATTGAAATTTAGTCACTTATTCACTTATACAGTCATCATGTGGTCATTCATTCAATCAACATATACTTATATTAAGCACCTACTCTCTACCAGGCACTGGGCTAGGTGTGGGATATACAGTAATAGTGATAAAAATTGGATGAGTTATAGCTCTCACAGCTGCTTCTGTATAAGGGAGATCTCATGTGCTTAAGCAGGATTTTTGTTTTGTTTTAGGGTTTGGCAACTTAAATAGATATTTAAACTATAACTGCAGTGACAAAAGCAAATGAACTCTCTGTAAGTAACATCTGGACAGTAAATATGTTAATTCCCATTAGAATGGGAAATTACTAGAAATAAATGTATCCAAGTCTAGTGTCAAAAATCACTCTTAGGGCACGTTAGTACAACAAATTAAACACACTTCATGTAAAAATACATAATTCTTACTCAATATTATAAAATAAAGAAAAATCACTAATACTGCTCTAGTGAGATAATGAAATTGTGTTTGCTTCTCACAAATGTTGGTTTTGATTTTGAGTTTCCTGAAGTACCTATCTCCTGAGATGCTGGCTGGGCTTTAAGAACAGCTTGCAACACTGGATCTTCCCATGGGCCACCATCTCTAATGATTCGAGTCACCAGTTCCAGATTCACATTTCCATATCTGCGGAGGTGATTCTGGCATTCCTAGGAGAGAAAAATCATTTTTTGCTTTATGAATTTAAAGGGGTTAAAAATTAAACTTGATCATTATTGTCAATAAAATGACTGATGGCCAATGAGGCAGTTATTAAATTATAAAAGAGAAAGGGTTGTTAAGTAACCTATGTAGGGTGTCAAAACCCATTAGTACACAAGTTAACTTTAATGCCAAAGGTTACACAGTTTGTACATAACTGGACTTAGGAAATCCCATTATAATGGGGATGAAGTGTAACCTAAGGAAAAAACTTAAGGAATGAATTATTTCTAGGAAGAAAATTGCATTGCTAAAATGTAAGAAAAAAACTTAATGGATGCATCATTTCTAGGAAAACCACCAGGTTGCAAAAACCAAATGGAAACACAGGATGCATCATTTCTAGGAAAAGAACCAGGTTGCAAAAGTGTTTTACTTAAATGCTTACTTAAATTTACGTGAGGGCTCACAAGGTTTCTGTTAACAAGGGCAAGCAAAAGCCTGACAATAAGAAGGGTAGAGGGTCCAATGCAGACTCTGGTTGACAAGTACACATAGGTGCCCTGCCCAATCCCAAATGTATTATCCTAGTTGTGGTACAAGGTTGAAAGATGAAAATTCTATTCTACTTTGTTGTGCAAGTACATTTGTAGTCTTGGGACGAAAAATGACAGGCTTAAGGAATGAATCGGACCTATAATACTAGTATGAAGACTTTGCATTTGGTTTAAGATAAAAATGTATTGGTAAGTTGGGCATTAGTTGATAATTTGTCTATGCATATTCTATTGGTTTTTTTAAGATATTTGAAATGTTTTTAGAGAATCTATTATCTCAGATTTGTGATTATAATATGAATTATGTAACAAGTTAGGTTAGTAAGCAATGTTTAATATTTAGGAGGACTTGGTTTACTGAATTTATAAATTTGATTTATTAGATTTAGATTTACAATATTTAATTGTTTGATTATGCTTTTCATTTTTTTTGTTGTTTTTTTTTATTATGCTTTTTGATTTATTTTACTTTGTCCATTGTTGTGTTTTAAAATGTTTCAGGGTATTTCATTTGGTAATTTAAAGAGATTAACTGAAGCCTAGTGGAGTTAATAAGACACTGTGGGGTAGGGGAGGCCGGGGGAAGGGAAAGGGGGAAAAAAAAGGAGTCATATGTAATACTCTTTGTAATACTTTAAGCAATAAAACAAAATTTAAAAAAAAAATGAGGTAGATTGTATTTCTGACTTGAGAAATGTCCACGGTGAGAAAAGCAAGTTGCAGAACAATGTGTTCCCAATTATCCCACTTTTGTAAAATAAAATCTACGTATCTGTAAAAAAAATAAAAAAATAAATAAAAATAAATGTATTTTTTAAATGCATAAATTGAGCTTAAGAAAAAACTAGATGTTAAAACTGGCAATGTTAAAAATTTTAATAAATTGTGCATCAATTAAAACAAACAATTGCCAGAATTTCTTTCTATGCTCAAAAAAAAAAAAAAGAAAAAATCCCTAGACATTAAAAAATTAATAACAGTTATAAAACAAAGCTTCAGGATAAAACAATATCCAGGGGTAGGCAATAGTAGCTTTACAGTTGTTGAGTATGTGAAACACAGATTTTATTGTTGTTTTATTAATTATTGTGTTACTTATTTGTATTACAACTGTAAATCTACTTTTGCTCATCCCTGTATGTATAGTCATAGATATTACTTCCCAGATAAATCACTAAGCTACATACTCAAAGTGACAATAAACACTTTGCTTTTATTAAACTGTCATATTCTTTCATCATTTGAATGCTCCAAAGTGATATCTATATGTTACTTCATATTCCTTGTTAAAATATATAAGAGGTTTTGTTTTATAAGAGAATGAGGCAATAGAAGAAATCAGATTTCAAGATAAAGAATCATTCAGTCAAAGAAGTCAAAGAAAATAAGTTCACCTAAAAGTCATTTAGGACATTCCCAAATTAAAATGAGCAAACAAGCAAGCAAACAAAATCCCTATAAACAATGGGCAAGTTACTTTTCCTTACCCTCTCTGTGCTACTTCAATGAACTCCTCTGCAAAAAGAATAGTAAAAACACCTCCTTCGTAGGATTGTTTTGAGGATTAAATAATAAACTGTATTGAAAAGTGCTTGGTATAGTACCTGGCATATGGCAAACACCTAATAAATACTAGCTATTATTTCTTCTATATTTTTTAACGTTTTGAATAAATATTTTATTTTAGGACACCCAATTGCCTTAGCATAAAATTTATTTCTAGATTTCCATGTGCCAGCATGTTAGAGCATTAAAAAAAATAAAATACATGCTTTTTTTAACACATGGAAGATAGTAATGACCTGTGGCAGCAGCTTCATGGTTGAAAACAGTCATCAATTTCAAACATCAAGGTAAACAAAATCCTAAATTACACTAGACACAATATTGGTACCCCTAAAATTCAAGCTGGCTTTTGGTCCAATCAAAGCACAAGAAATAAGGTGAGCTGTAGCTTTGCTGCTAAGCCCTTGGACAACCCATCTTTCTAGCTGTATTAGAGTAAGTGAGGCACCAATCATACAGCCATTAATATTTGAACTGGACTTAGGCCAAAGTCAAGATATGGGAAAGCAGGTCTACTGCTAATTTCTTAAACTTGGCTGAAAATAAGAAACACTTGGAGGTCTTGTTAAGTAACAGATTCCCAGGCCCCAGTTGAAACCTACTGAGTCGAAATTTCTAGGGGAAAGCCCTGATGATCTATCTGTAAATCTAACAACCTTTATCCCACAGTCAATTTTGGCACACTTTTTTATTGCACCTCCTACAATTAGTGTCTACTTTCACAAATATTCATACTTTAAGTTATATACTTACATTCCATCAACTCTTCTATTAAAAATTAGCAAATTAGCTTATGTTCATTTTCCTAAGATAAAAATTATAAATACAAGTTTTTTGTGTGTGTGCACTTCTTGAATCAAGTACACTGTATTTTGGAGACCGCTTCTATGAGAAATAGCTCAGGATAGGCAATAAAGATTAAATAAACATTCTGTTCTATTTAAAGACACAGGCCTGGCCCTAGCCAGTTTGGCTCAGTGGATAGAGCGTTGGCCCACGGACTGAAGGGTCCTGAGTTCGATTCCAGTCAAGGGCATGTACCTTGGTTGCAGGCTCCTGGCCCTGGTGGGGGGGAGGGGAGTGCATGCAGGAGGCAATCAATTGATGTGTCCCTCTCACATCAGTGTTTCTCTGTCTCTCCCTCTTCATTCCACTCTCTCTCTTAAAAAAAAAAAATCAATGGAAAAAATATCCTCAGGTGAGGATTAAAAAGACACAGGCCTGGTAGGCCTGGAAGGAGAGGGGTGGGAAACAAGTGGGGTGGAAAGGGTCAATGCGGGGGAAAGGGGGACATCTATAATACTTTCAACAATAAAGATAAATTTAAAAATATAAAATGAATCATTCTTGTATAATATCTAAATAAGTAAATAAGACACAGGATGAAAAAAAACAAGTAAGTTTGTAAGTATGTTTGGGTTCCTGCTTCCTTAAATACTATGGTGGCTTTTTTAGATGGTATTCAGTCTACTAGTAAAAGCCTTCAAAGTGAAAAAGGAAGCACCAAAATCACTACAGAATTCACAACTTATCTTTCCTAAAATATATATACATATTGTGTGTGTTTTAGAACGTTTACTTAAAGATTTAGACCTGCATATTAACCTAATCCTTTACTAAGTCATCTGTCTATTGTCATTAATACCACTGCACTGTCCTAAATACAGAGGTGGGCAAAAGTAGATTAACAGTTGTTCATGTAGAAAAAAACAATAAATAATACAAGAATAAACTATTTCATGAACTCACAACTGTAGACCCACTTTTGTCCACCCCATATAATTCCCTCAAAAACTTTTATTCAACCTTATGTCATAGCAAAGTTAGAGAGAAAACAAAACTCCTTCCCTCACTCTTCTTTTGGAATCTATGTGGCGTGGGCTTAATGTTTTATTTTAGAAGATTTTTCTTCCATGAACTCGTTCCCACTTTGCTTAACTCTAGTTGGCCACTAGAACATGTCTGTGAAGCTGCAGATCAGTGTGCTGGCTATTCTGCATACTTGATCTGAACCCTTCGCCAACTTATCACAGGATGAAAGTCTTAACGCCCCAACTTCATGACCTCTGGACTTACCTACCTACTCATTCATCTATTACACATCATGAAATACTTTTTTGTCTAATCTGGTGTATTCCATGTCTCTCAAACTCATCTTGTACTTTCTTGCCTATGCTTTTTCTCATAGCACGCTCTTTCTCCTACAACTTCGTATGAACCTATCTAAATCCTTTCCTAACTATCTTTCCTACATGGGTAAGATACCACAAGTCTGGAAATTCCTGGTTTTGGGTATTAGTTGTATTTATATTTGTGTTTGGAATCAAATATAAAACTCAACTTCTTCTGTTGATCCTAATGTCATGTCAGTTTTCTTTTAACATCTCCTGGTCTGCGTCCTCCTTGCCACTTCTACAGGCTTATCCTCTTTTCTGGGCTTTCATCTGCATTCACTCAGATAACCACATTAAAGTTTCTCCCTCTCCCCAATAAGGCAGTTTTGAGAAGGTTTTAAAGAATGCTGGGTTGAGTGTAGGTCCTTGTTCTACTTCTGGAAACCTCAACTCCATTGGAGCTTAATTTTCTGTTATGTAAAGTAAGGAATTATTGTATTAAACAATTTCTAAGATGATTCCCAGTCTTGAAATTATAAAAATTCCATAAATACCTAGCAATTAGACATATTTGATTTTTTTAAATAACTAGAATCATGTACTTACTGAACTATTTAACATATCCCTTATAAGAGTTAAAAAAAAAGATTATTTAAATTATGTAATTGGTTACCTATTTAATAAACATAATTACATATTTTTTTAAAATTTAGGTAAAAAATGTGAATGTTACTTAAATTTGCAATCAGAGTTTTATCTGAGGGGAAAGAC